GAATCAAAGATATTTGGATCCATTTTTTAAAAATTTTTCATGAGCGCTCCTCATCTGTCAATTGTCATATCACTGCACGATATATGGACATACACACAGACATACCGACATACAACACGTAACACAAGTGTAACACAACACAATAGTAAAGGCCTTGTAGCTTTTTCAGGTAAAATCTCATTGCAATGTTTAAAAAAATTCCAGTTGATCAAAAATAGAACTTATCAGAAAAACATTAACTTGTCTGTAGGATCAAAATCATGTACTCAAAAAAAAAAAAATACAGAATCTAAGAAAAAGCAAAAGTCCTAGAAAAAATTGACCGGCCAGTAATTAGTAAATGCCATACAATTTACTCTTTGGTTTAATCTAGTTTGAGTTCCCATAAAAAGACACTTTTACTCTTTTTTTCCTTGGGCCTCAGATCTGTCTCCTACTGAGTGCTCCAGACTTCTATTTGCATATCAACTTAAGTCCTGGCTGAGGTCTGGAAGGAACTGGGAAAACTGGAATTCTGAGCAGAAACCTCATGCCTAAGGCATTTTAACCATAAGTCACAATTTTCAGGTTTGGATGTTGAAAATTATGATACAAGTTTAAGATACAATTTACAAAATTTCATACCTTTACATTTTCCTACACTAGAAAAACTTGCTCACACAAAACTGAAAATAGGATCTCTACCATCAGAAGAAATTTCTTTAGGATCATTAAGTCATTTCCTTTGTTCTGAAGTTCCTAAAGTAGTATTAAGTTACATTAAGTCATTTGAAAAAAATTTTAAAAGAGAACCACACACTACCATGTATATCCAAAATTAAGCTTTAAAAATTTAAGACTGTTGCTATTCAATGTTATTTCAATAAGCCAGACCAACGTTCCAATTCAACATTTTTTTTCCTAAATCTTACACACTGAGGGGAAAGATACCATATCATAATTTACTATCCTTGCCCAAGTTAATGCACCTAGTGAAATCTTCTCAGGCTACCCAGTTCAAAATAAAACTAAATGATTGGGAGTTACTTGCCAACTTGGAAGTAGAATTCTTTTAATTTTCTATCCTAAGTATTTAAGTTCTCCAGCATGAATTATCTGAAATCACAAACTAAACAATTACCTAACCCCAACTTTTAACTGCAAGATTATGCAATGCTTCAAACTCATTTAGATACCAGATTGTTACAATAAAAAATCATCTTTTAGACACACATTTAGCTAAGATCATCCCCAAGAAACAATCTATAATAACCTTTAAAATAGAGAGACCAGATAAGAGAAAAATCTCTGCAGGTTTTTAACTTCCATTTAATTATGACTCCTATCAGTGGCACCATAGATTTCCCCATGAGTGGACCAGATGTTTTCACAGAGGGGCAACTATAGGTGTAAAATCAAGGGTCTCAGTGTGACTGACTTTACTGCATTCAGTGTCCCTTCTTTTTAAGTGGACAGAGATGGAGCAATCCTTACAGTGCAGGGAAGGATGAGGAAATTCCCCAAAGCGAAAATGGCTCTGGCAGCTGCTGGGAGTACCTCAGTTTCCCTTTTACTTACAGGATTAGCTCCTTTGGATAGATCCAATCCCAGGCAATCTGGCATATCTCTTAACTTTCCAGTAGAGTCAGTTTTTATCTGCCTTAGGTCTTGAAGGGGGAAGGGGTTATGTACTTTGATCGGCCCAAATTTTTCTCCTGATTCTTTTTCCTCAGTGAGTCCAAGATTTTTTCTCTTCATGGCAGATATCATAGCTAAGTCTACTTTACACTGTTGGCATAATTTAGGATTTTCCCTTAGAGCAAAGAAAATCTGAACATACAGCACCTCACACCATTTCCTTTTTTGTAAATTTTATCAAACTGTAAAATTGTATTAAAATTGATATTTCCCTCTGGTGGCCAGGTTTCTTCATCAGAGTTTGTATTGAGGCCAGGCCAAGAAAATGAGGCGCTTTTTCTTGAGCGTCTGAGGTTCAAATCTATCCCAATTTTTCAATACGCAGGCTAGTGGTGCACCTGGCGTATTGGAGAGAGAGAAGCTCCCGTCTGAGTGAGAAGAAAACAGGACTCAGGCGCCCACGCCGCGCCAGAGAAAACTGTTCTCATTAGGGACGTCTCCCTAAGTTTGAGCTTCCTAAACAGTCCAGAAAACCCGTCTCTCACCTTGCTTTGCCAAGGGGTTTCTGGTCCCCTTTAGCAAAGTGCTAGGGTCTCAGTTTGCCCTGTGCCTGAGACCCTGGGAGGATTCAGACTTAAGGGCATTACTGCTTATCCTCCCGGCCACTAAAAACCCATTGCAAAAGAGAAACATGCGCTCTTTGTTGCCTTTGCTCTGTAGACTAAAGGAGCCGCCTAAGTGTTAAGGGATATCTACTGGTTGTAAGGTAGCAGATTACCAGAGGAGTTGATCTAAAAATGCCTCTCTAGCAGCTTAGGGAACACAACACATTTTAAACATTGGGGTGGTAAAACAGACTAGTTAAAGTTACCTATGCATCTTAGGGAACCTGGGCAGATTTTGCAAATTATCCAATGCCTTTCTCTCAGTCCTACAACCTGAATTGCTAACATTTCTGACCTGCGAAGGAAGGGGAGCATCCAGGAGGAATGGATGCGGGGTTGGGAGTGTTGCGTAGCCCATACGGAGGCAAATGTGATTGGGGCTTTCCCTCAGTGCCATTCATCTACCGATCACCCTAGATACCCCTGAGGGCTGTCGGGAGGGGGCTCAAGAGAAAGGAACCTTAGGAATCCTCTGAGTGTAGCCCAGACTGGAATTCCGCAGTTGTTCCAAACTTCTTCCTCCACCTCCACGCATCCGAGGCAGATCGGGATTCGGAACACTGTGTACTCACGCCAATTGCTCTCCAGGCCCAGACAGAAAAGTTGGAAGCGGCTTTGGCAGAACCCAACATGCCTGCTCTGTATTGAACAGGTGATTGAGAGCTGCCTAGGCCGGGAAACCTCTCACCCGAGTCTTGAAGAGTGGCGGCTGCACTAATTGCGTTTAAGTAGCCGTCGGGTGCCCACCTTACCCTCCAGAAAGAAAGAGAGAGAAAGATGCACCTCAAACAGACATGGGGTGCGTGCACTTACCTCGGTGTAGAATCTCGGTCTGGGACCTCCAATATGTTACCGCTGTTGACTGGTGATGAGTCCTTGCTTCCCCAATGTTGAAGAATAACACCAAAGAAGCACGCCGAGGCAAGGTCAGAGTAGAAATTAGAAGTTTATTAAAGGACAGCAGAAAAGACTTCTCCCGGAGGAAGAAGGGGACCCAAGAGGTGGAATCCCCCCAATATGCTTCTAAGACGATGATTTTCTACCCCAGTTAGCCGGAATCAGTTTGGTTACTTGTATCCCAAATCCTGACTGATTAAAAAATTGGGCACCAGGGTATGAATTGTGAGCAACGCACCTTTAAAGATTGTGTGGTCTCTCTGGGATTGGCACCTGACATAGCTGGACTGCCGCAGTCTGGCTGGGCACAATTCAGGAGCCACTTGTCAAAAGAAACGAACTTTATTTTTAGAACCACACACGCCAAACAAAACCGCTCCTCAGGAAAAACCTTCAGAGCCCAACTGCCACCACCGGCTTCCCATAAGCCTCTCAACCTCCCCCACTCCTCCTGCTCTTGAGGCTGATTGGCTGGGTCGCGTGGGCGGAGCCAAAAAAAGTCCCCCAATGAGCAGCTCCGTCGTCTGAAAAGGCGGGGAAACAGCCCAATGAGCATCACCGCAGAGGAGCCAATCAGCTAGAAGTTGCTGCCCCCCGTGAGCCAATCATCAGCTGGCAGTCTGAAAGTTTGCTGGGGCCCCTTTGGCTGTGGCTCTCAACACTGGACATGAAAGGAAGTGAGCACCCTGTTGTGTTCACCAACTGGAATTCGGCAGGCTTTGCCTAAAGTCGGAGGTTCAGATTGTGGTGACTCCTGGTTCCACGTGTGGATTCTGGCGCGCTCAGCCACATGGAGAGGAATCTTCCAGGCCAAATGAGAGCTTCAACTTGCCTGTAGGGATTACCACTGACTTGGCCTAAATCTGGGTGGGAGCAAGGAGGCAGGCTGGGGTCTCTTGGCCCCACAGTCACAGGGAGGTAAAGAGACAGTTCTGCCCGTGCTGTCTCCGCCCCGTCCGGCAGGCACCCCCTGTCTCCTATTTGCCTCCGTCTCAGACCCATTGTTCTGCCTGGATTTCTGCTTTTATTTATTTACTTCATTTGTCTTTTGCCCCAATTTCTTTGTCTTTCAACTTTATATCCATGTAGTTGTTTTTGAAAGTTGTTTCAGATCGTTTTCAGAATGAGGGTCAGGTATAGTAAAAAAAACAAATAACCAAAAAAAAAGATGCCCTGTCTTCCCGCATCACCTTGTCTTTGAAGGTCTAGATCATCTCAGCTCTGAGCCTCCATCCAGGAGGCTCTCCTCCGAGTTCTGATGAAATGGTTGAAGCTGATGTTCCCAGGCACCCTGGCTGCGGTTGTGAAGTGCCCGTACATACAAGCAACTTAGAATTCCACTTTGGCCTCTCTGCTCCAATTCTCTGCATCTGCCTTTGGTTGGAGGAGTGGGAAGAGTCTTTTCCTACCTCTGGATGCTCTCCAGAGAGGCTGAGAGCTTTATAATGCCACGAGTCTCCACCTCCAATAACTAAGTCTGACTCCTCCAGTCCAGGCTGGCCAAGGTGACTGGCCAGGCACAGGCCTGAGAGAACATTCTCAAAGCTTCACTTTCCCAGCCACCATGGCAAGTGGAAGGGGCAAACATGGCATTTACTTCCCCCGTGCGAACTATGCCACCTCATCTCAGGACAACAGTGGTCCCTGTTAGTTGAATGGACTTTCCCACCCTGTCTTTCAGGAACTCCTGGGTTGGCCCGTTCCTCCTCCCCAGGGCACAGGCTAGAGTATTGGTGCTTGGTGCAGCCACTTCACATGATTGGGCAATTTCACTTTTCTCTTCCCCTTTTGACGCAAACCCCGAGGGATGGAGGGGTTGACCAATTGGCGGGGTTTCTCCTCTGATCTCTGGGATGGCACAGAGGTAGTGGAAATCTAACCCGGCTGCGGCTAAGCCAAGCGCACGGCCCAGGGGCCAGCAGTAGGGACGGCAGACGTGGACCCAAAGTCTCAGTTTCAGGTAAGTCCCAGCCTCCTCTCCTTGTCCTCATCTGTGGTAAGGTCACCTCTGCATTTGTTACATATGTCTCCCCAGCCCATTCCACAGGTCCACAAGAGAACAAGACTACAAGAAATAAAACCTAGGAAAGCAGATGTTGATGGCAGTGGGTTGGCTCTTGGGGGAACTAAAAGCCACTCAAAGTCACATGGCTGGGCTGGGGCTGCTAGAACTTCAAGGTCCCTCCTGAAGGTTCCTTGTGACCTCTGCACTTTCATCTGCCTCAGCTTTCCTTATCCCCACCCAACAGACAACTCTGTCCCCCACAAAAAAAGTCTTTTTAGAAAAATTAGAATCCAAATTAAATGCCTATTTGTTGTTCAGCTTTTTCTAGCCTGCAGAGTTGGGGGCCAGTTCTGCTCTGGGTGGCCATGAGCCCTTGGAGTCCATGCAGGATCTTTAAACCCTTGATTGGGGGAATCAGAAGTAGATGAGCCCCAACAACCAACGGGATAGGTGGGGAGAGTGTTGCTTGTTGTTGTTTTTTAACAAGACTCTGTTACACATCTGGCTAGAGAAGGATAAAAATGATCTTTTAAACACACAAGAAAAGACAAATACAGTAATATAGTCTTGTTGATAGAAACTAAAGCAGTGTAAAAGTGTATGGAAAAATCCTCTAATTGGGACTCTCTGCCAAGGTACTTCTGACACTGTGAAACCACAAGGAAAAAAAATCATTTCCTCTTTAAATATTTGATAGAATCCAGTAGTGATAATATCTGGGACTAGAATTTCTCTTTTAGAGGGCTATTCATTACTGATTCAATTTATTTAATAGACAGAGTCCTGTTCATATGGTCTAACACTCCTTTTCGAGTTTTGGTAGTTCATGACTTCAGGAATTTGTCCACTTCTTCTGTTATCAATTCTGTAGGCGGAGGGTTTCCCATAGTATTTTTTTAATCCTTTTAATGTCTATAGGACTCATAGTGATGACTCTTCTTTTATTTCTGGCTTTAGTTATTTGTTTGTTTTTTTTTGTTTTGTTTTGTTTAGTTTTTCTTTGTAAGCCTGGCTCAAGATTTACAATTTTATTGATCGTTGGTTTCATTGGATTTCTCTAGTGCCTTCCTATTTCAACTTCATTAATTTTTCCTTCCTTCCTTCCTTCCTTCCTTCCTTCTTTTCTTTTTTCTTTTGGCACCGGGGATTGAACTCAGGGATGCTTTACTGCTGAACTACATCCCCAGCCCTTTTTATTTTTTAATTTTGAGACAAGTCCTTGCTAAATTGCTGAGGCTGGCTTGAATTTGTAATCCTCTTGGCTCAGCCTCCTGAGTCGCTGGGATTATAGGTGTGTGTGCGTCACTTTTCCCAACTTCAATTTTATTAATTTCTATGTTAATTTTTATTGCTTGTTTTCTTCTGTTTGCATTAAGCTTCAATTGCTCTTTTTTTTCTTCAATTTCCTCAGATAGAAGCATAGATTATTGATTGAGATCTTACTTCTTTTCTTTTTGCAGTACTGAGGATTGAACCTAGGGCCTCCTTCATTCCGGGAGGTGCTCTACCACTGAGCTACATTTATAGCCCTTTTTATTTTGAAACAGGGACTCTCTAAATTGCCCCAGTTGGCCTTGAACTTGCAATCCTCCTGCTTCAGCCTTTCAAGTTGTTGGGATTCCAGGTGTGTGCCACCATACCAGGCTCTTCCTTCCTAATATATGTATTCAATGCTGTACATTTCCTTCTAAGCATGTCTTTACTGCATTCCATAAATGTTGATAGTTAGGTTCTTATTTTCATTTAGTTAAAAATATTTAATTAATTTATTTATTTGGTACCAGGGATTGAACTCAGGGGTACTCAACCACTAACCCACATCCCCAGACCTATTTTGAATTTTATTTAGAGATAGGGTCTCACTGAATTGCTTAGTGCCTCACCATTGCTGAGGCTGGCTTTGAACTCACAATCCTCCTGTCTCAGCTTCCTGAGCCACTGGGATTAAGTTCAGAATATTTAAAAACTTATTTTGAGACATTTCCTTTGACTCTTAGAACTGTGTTTTTTAATCTCTAAATAGTTTGGGATTTTCTAGCTATCTTTCTGTTATTGCTTTCTAGTTTAATTCCATTGTAGTCAAACAGCATACTTTTTATGATTTCTATTCTTTTAAATTTGCTAAGGTGTGATTTGTGGCTCAGAATATGGCAAATCTTGGAAAATGTTCCATGTGAACTTAAAGAGTGTGTGTATTCTTCTGTCACTGAATGGAATATTACATAAGTGTCACTTAGATCAAGTTCATTGCTATTGCAGTTCCGGTCAACTGCATCCTCACTGATTTTCAACTACTGAGAAATATTGACATCTCCAACAGTAGTGGGTTTGTCTATTTCTCACTGTCTTCAATCAATTTTTGCCTTGCATTTAAAAATTTTTAAAATTTGTTCTTTTTAGATATACATGACAGTAGAGTATATTTTGACATGTCACCCATATGTGGAGTATAATCTCTCATTCTTGTGGTTGTACATGATGTGGACTTACACTGATGGTGTATTCATATATGAACATAGGAAAGTTCTGTCTGATTCATTCTACTGTCTTTCCTATTCCCATCCCCACTCCCTTCCCTTCATTCTCCTTTGTCTAATCCAATGAACTTCTATCTGCCTCTGCCCCTTATCATGTGTTAGTATCCGCATATCAGAGAGAACATTTGACCTTTGGTTTTTTGGGGTTGGCTTATTTTACTTAGCATGACAGTCTTCAATTCCATCCATTTACTGGCAAATGCCAACATTTCATTCTTCTTTATGCCTCGCATGTTTTGATGCTACTTTGTTAGGAAATACAGAAATATTGAGGGATAAGAATGAATGATAGGTGCAACCTATTTGCCAATGATTCAGGAAAAAAGAATCTATAGACAAATAGAAATTAGAGAATATACTAAAAAAAAGTCATTATTTGCAACTTTTCTATAAGTGTGAAATCATACCAAGATGTTTTGCTTCTGCTTAGGACTTTTACCATCCTTTACCTTATGAGAAGAAAAGAATATTAGTTACATTTGCCTTAAATTCATCCCTAGTTGCTCTTTGATAAATGGATTTTTGATGACTATTTTAACATATAGATTGTGTATAAAAAGTTAGATAGAATTTAATAGATACTACCTTCCAACAAGATTGTTACAATTATGCCTACCCTTACACTTGCAATACATTTTTACACTAATCATGCCCACTTGAAATTACAAACTTCTTATTATCCTTTTTGAACATTGCTCCCAGTTATTTCACTTACCCACACACTAGAATCATCCAGTCGACTTTTGCTGTTATTTCCTTGAACAAATCACTGTTTCTTAGGTCATGTTAAAATAGGAAAAACAATTACTTGTATCAGCTTTTATTCCTTTTCTGATGCTCTCTGCTTTAAGTAGATCTGAGTTTCTAACTCATTTCATATTTCTTCTTTATGAAGAATTTCTCTTAATATTACTTGCAAGATAGATCACGTGGCAACAAATTCCCCCAGTTTCTGTTTCTTCATTTCTCTGTCACTGGCAAAGTTACTTTCACAGAAAATGGAAGTCTAGATTGGTGCTTTTCTTTTTTTATCATTATAAATATTTTTCTCCCCTTTTGAGTTATGTCATTTTGTAACAGGGACTTTGAGGGTATTCTTGCTAAAGCACTAACTATTCAGCTGGGCTCATGGATGTCCACTGGGTAACTGAGGCAGGGTCAAACTTGGTCTCTCTGCCTTCCTTTGGCCTCTCTCCTTTGCTAGCATAAACTTTGGGTCAGATTCCTGATCAAATCTGCTGGTAGACATATTAATCATTTAAAGAATGTTTGTTAAAGTTGGTGATCCTCTGCCTTCAAGGCTGAAGGCAGCAAGAAAAGAGAGATGAAGATAGTTTCAAGATTTGCAGGGGCGTGATGTCAACTGCCACCTGTACAACATCTTGTTCCAGACCACTGGACCAGCACCTAAAGACCTTGCACCTAAGCTGGACTCAGTCATTGTGTAATTAATTCCGTCTTGCCTTTCTCACTTAATTTTTTTTTCCTCTGAGTCACTCTCTCTCGCCACATCCTGTCTCAAAATAAAATAAGAAGGGCTGAGAGTGGAGCTCAGTGGTAGAGCACCACTGGGTTCTATCCTGAGTACTGTCAAAAAGAAGAAGGAGAGGAGGAGGAGGAGGAGGAGGAGGAGGAGGAAGGAGGGGAGGGGGAGGAAGAAGAAGGAGGAGGAGGAAGGAGGGAGAGGGGGAGGGAGGGGGAGTGGGAGAGGGGGAGGGGGAGGGGAGAGGGAGGGGAAGGGGAGGGAGAAAGAGAAAGAAGGAAGCATGCATCATGGCAAGGGTTGAAACTTCTGGCAGGCAGCAGCAGCTTTCTCATCACTGAAGTGACAAGGCTCCTCATGGCTCATACTGAGATGACACCAACCAGACACAGTCTGACCACGACGACTTGACCAGGCATATGTCTTCACCCTGCACTTTCGTCCCTCCCCTGTAAAATCCTAGAGCTCTTGCCAGTACCCAAAGACAGGACTGAGGATGCTGGGCTTCCCCTGTCCTTCCCAGCCTGGCCAAACTGAATAACTTCCTTTTCCCTTTTCCCATCATTTTCTGCTTGGTTTCCAGGGTGAGTGACTGCACCTGGTCTGTTGGGACCCCCAGAATGAGGGCTCCCCAGCCTAGGACTCCAGTATTAGTTGCTAAAGAGAAATCAGGTGTTACTTTTAGTCTTGTCCCTCCATGGATGAGGGCTTTACCCCCTCTGGCTACTTTCAACATTTTCTGTCTTCGGCTTCCTGCAGTTTGTGAATGGTACATCTAGGTAGAAATTATTTGATGTTTGCTGAGCTTCCTGAATCTTTTTTTTTTTAGTTGTTGATGGACCTTTATTTATTTATTTTTACATGGTGCTGAGAATTGAACTCAGTGCCTCACACATGCTAGGCAAGCACTCTACCACTGAGCCACAGCCCTAGCC